AGCACCTTGGGGGACACCAGCTTCAGTGAGCACAGCAGAGGAGGATTCGCCTTTGTATACGGTGTACTGCATTCTGTTTGAAAAGTAGGAATGTAACCAGTTGGTGACCCAGTACACAGTTTGTGTCATGGAGAGCTTATTTAGCAAGAGACTTCGTTGAGGGTTACTTTTAATTCATAATAAAAAGATGAGCAGTAATTTTCCTTTGACACCCAGTGAATATACATATTGTCATCATCAGTCAGACGTATCAATTTCTTCTCGTTAAAAAAAATCATCAGTTTGATATTATATCGAATATAAATTTTCTACGGCTTTATTGTACTACTTCGGTGAGATCAATCAAGACTGTCACGTTTAAGAAGAAAATAGACGACTGGCATCAAGTAATAAATGCAGATTATTACATATATGTCGTCGGCTTCAAGGTGATTGGTTTCTACCACTTCACTTAACCAGATAATTATAAAGTCATAATATCCGAAGAATCAACTAGAGGAATTTTTACTACTTCATATGCCTTGTAATGCACTAATCACACGATAGGGCAATCCCAGCATATTCTACTGCTTGTTGAGATTAATTACTGTTATTACTTACAATTTCATTTCAGTTCAGTCGGTGACAAACATTCAATCGAGATATATTCCTGTTCGTATACTCCTTGGAATTGTAGTAATTATCAATTTTATTTTATTCCTTACGAAGTCGGCAGCGATTTGCACTGACATGTTGCAAGAAAAATGAATGTCAGTTGTAATATTCACGTCCATAGTTACTTGGTCAGTGCGATAATTTCCACAATTCTCAGAACATACTATCATTAGCCTTGTTAAATAAACTGCATGCCTTTTCAATTAACTTATATGAGAAACCGTGAAAATACTACATAAGCAGTAGCTCCATGGAAGGTTGAATATATATATATATATATGGTAGAAAACCATGTACTGTCAATGTGTATGAGATCAATAAAACTGTTTCTAAATTAATTTGACATTCATGCGATGATTGACAATTTTTAATGCTTATGTTCATTCGAATTTCACATTAGTCGGTTGCCTAAATAGCAGGGAAGGTTTGGTGTTGAAATTAAGCTTATTATTACACTGTAGAAATCTGGAGTGGATTTGAATTCAACACAAAAGAACGTGCCTCATAAATTTAACCGCTGCATATTGAGTCACTTAAGTCTTGGTGTACTGAAAAGGCGATGGTACTGTCTGGTTCTTATATACAGCGATAGCTGCCATGGACATTTTTCAAGCATTCCATTGGGTGAATCACAATTCGAGCACTGTATTTGTATATGATATCGTCATAGAATACATCAATTTGATAAAAGCACTCCGTCTTAAGTTCGCCTTTTTTTCTCAGTCTGCAACACACTGGCTGGCCCCAGATAGAACACACCTCATTATATTGTTTCAGATAGAAACTGGCTCTCTTTCCAGTGATAGCAGATGATGAGACCAATAAAATATGTTCAAGGGGAATTAATCAGCAAGGCGGATAAACGAAACAAGAAATGGACTGATCATTTCAAAAGACTTTTGAATCGACTTACACATGTAGAACTCTTAGGACTGCAACCATCACCAAATCACACATAGAACTGCCTGTCAGTGGACACTGATCCTCCGACTAAAGTAGAAGTCTTGAAGACGACTAAGCCAATGAATGCTGGGGACCGGTAGGGACGGATGGAATTTCCCTCTAATCATTGACAACGGGCCAAAAGCTCAAATCAGGTGTGCTAACATCATTATTGCAAAGAGATTCAGAAAGATGTGGAGGTGACTACCTATTGGAAGAAAGGATACCTTGTCAGGCTACCACCGTAAGGCGACTTACGCCTTCGCGAAAATTGGCAACAAATCATGCTTTAGTCCATGCTAGGTGTAATAATTAGTCGAATCATCCTGTAGAGAATAAACAATCAACTGGAGACAGGATTTTATCAGCCAAAAACAGCTAGATTCAAGAAAGGCAAATATGAAGTACGCAGCTAACCAGCCAAGGGAAAGCTTTCTAAATATGATTACTGTTTGTACTTCAGGTTTCGCGAATGAAAGTATCACTCATTGAATAATCAATTTGTGAAACAATGTCGGGTTATTTCATGCCTTAGAGTACCTAAAGAGAACCATTCCCATAAATTAGGCGCTCGTGATTCCATTAATCAAATATACCGCTTAATAACACCTGAATATAGATAGGATAGAGAAGATTTGTAGCTCAGGTAGATGATTTTAATACGGTTGTGTTCTCTGAGCTGGATAGTTTACTTGCGAATAGACATAAATCTCCGAATTTGAAATTAAATGAATGATCCTAATCATAAGTGTTAAAATGAATTATCACAATCACCGTTTTTCACGCATAAAATGCCATAAATATTGACAAATTGTGGTCCTCAGAAAATAGTCAAATTATATCTAATAAATGAGGCACTCTAAAACATCAAACTCCACAATCCACTGAATAGTACGCATTGCGAAATTCTGTAATTCTTTATCACCCTGATAAACAGCATAAGATACAATCTTCAGAAGTATTCCCGATTACGTGAGTGAAACCGTTTATCGATTACAAAACATCATGCAGCATATCGTTTCTTTCTTAAATTGTAAACAATTTGTTTTTTTGATTCATCAAGAAACTTATGATAGATTGTCGGTGCACTGAATCAGTGTGCATCTGAGTTTTAAATTCTCCTGCTTCTGAAACCAAAACATCAGTGATGAAATATGATTATGTTTTCATTGATATTGACCAGTAGTTACAAACACAAAGATGATGATAATTACTCAAAAGAAATAGTAGTTTTCGATAAGTATTCACACTGACTGTTGACGGACACCAGGGATTATATGCCTTTTGGAAATCACAGAACATTTATCCTCACTTGTTCAATATAATGCAATTGATTTGAACGTTACACTATAACTCAAGGTTTTCTACACCCAGTGAACAAAGAAAACATCCACTGGAAATATTTCAATTGCCGTTCGGAGTGTCTCCAAAGTTCTGCAATCTCTACGAAGATTTACATCAGTTCGCTGCATGGCTTAATATAGCTAAATAGTGTATGCTATCAAGATTGTCTGCAGATTTAAATGTTACTGAATTTGTCTTTACTACTGTTCAATCAATATTTTAGAATACGTATTCTGCTTTTGAGTGGATAATCGTACTTCAAATACAGGAGTATTCGGAACATTGAGCGTTAATTCGTCGGAATACCGGTCAGTTCTTCAGAGGATCAAAGTGATCAGTTGATATCAATAATTGATGATCATTTTATATTTATTGCACAAGTTAGAATAGAATTTAAGATGTGATGTATTGCGCAGTGGGAACGGACAACAAGTGAAGCTGAAATAGACTAGTTCGATCCTAAATTATCCGTACTCCATTTGGTTTGTGATAACAGTTTGTCTGATTGATGTCTTCGAAAATGTTTGACATACATAAACCAATCTGGGGACATTTCTTATGAGAATAGTGTCACTAAGTCAGTTGATATAAGTAACATAATAAAATATCAAATCTGACAGGTAGCAGGATAATGTTATGACCACCTTCCGTACTAAATCATCTTGTAGTTGATTACCACAACCCTCACTTTGAGTGAATAATTTCATTTCACTTACGGTAATGTTTTCGCTCTCGCTGCTAACAAGATTTTTGTATTGTATACTGTATCACTTTAATGGCTAATCAGCACTTTGAAACTTTTTTTACTTTTTTGGATGCAACATTATTTTGACTAGCTCGCGGCCTTATTTCCTAAACACTCATCGGACGCAATTCCTTTCGAGAAACATACAATTTCAGCATCGTCTTAGGCAGTAAGTATTCTCCCTGTCTAAGTTAGTCAACCATCAGATCGTTCAGCTCAGTGAGGTTGTCCAACACTTCAGAACACGGTAAGGTTGACCTGAATCTGGCCAACAAATACAGAGTTAATATCGCCCGTCCATATTTGCATGCATCTCTGAGGTGGCAATGGATTTCAGCGTTTCGTTTATAATGTGCTGTGTTATTATATACCCAGACAATCTGCGTAATAATTTTGAGATTTGGTTTCATTCCCAGTACGCAGTGCGCCGGTGGCACAGTGGTTAGGACTCTCGCCGACCATGCAAATGGTCCGAGGTTCGATCCCCTGCCGACATACACCTGATATCTATAGTTGGCCTGCAAAATTTAGGCTACCGATATCCATGCTGAAAACTCCATACTTGTACCAAAAATACAGTGTAGAACCAAGCTGTAATCAAAAATAAATAAAAATAAATAAATTAACCTTATTTTGCAGGTACGCGATGCTGATTGTGAAGTATCTTTGAAATCGCTTCAGTCATATGGAATGCCTCAAATCTTTATCAATCTCACTCGACAGCTGTAGGACAGTGGCACATTTCAGGGGATTAACAACGAGGAACTCATTGAAGTCTTGGAAAAGAAAACAGAATTAAGAGAAGCCTATTTATTTGTGATGATATTCTTAGTTGTATTGGATTGGATTATATGGCAGAGTGTCATGAGAGTGAAAAAAAGAATGCTCTGAACCGATATTGTGATTCTAAAATATGGTATTCGTCTAGTGTCACATAAACCCGATAATTCACGTGTAAAGACGGACGAAACGGTAATCAAGGCAGACGTTCCAACAGAACTGATAACTATTGCATCCCATGCAATCATGATCTACTGTTTTGCAGTAAAGCACATTGAACATAAAGTGTTGATATCAGTACATTGATTTATGAACACGTGAACTGGCATTTATGAATCATGGAGATCCGCGAAACAATTGCTGTGATACAACTTATACCTCAAAAAATACTAATTCTTTCACACAAATAAAAGTGTACTCATTGCATAAAGAGTTTTGTTTATTGAATATCTGCCATTTCAAAATCCTTCATTTATATATTAGAAAAATGTTGCTTGAGTTATCAGAAATCACACATCAGGCAAACAAGTTACCAATACACTTTTTCACGTGGATGTATTTTCTCAAACTGATTTGAGCTGGTTTGCAGCAACCACTATCATCTGAAAACAAGAAAAACAAATAGTATGACAATATGAAAGTCTAAATTTCTAACTTGTTCAAAAGTGATAATATGCTTGAATAAGAAAATGATGTAGTGAGTATGAATTAATTGGAAAAGTACCATTTGCACATTCGGAAAAACAACTGGTGAGGCGAATAAATGCATATTCTCCTCGTCATCAGCTGTACATAATTAAGTAGTTCCGATATCAAAATTATTACATTCATGCTAGCTAGTCTCCCTGGATTCTGAACACATTTACATTGAAAGGGCGTTTAAACTTATTTATCATATCTGTCTCATATTATCTAACCTTCCACATGGTGGCACAGTGATTAGGACTCTCGCCGACCATGCATATGGTCCGAGGTTCGAGCCCACGCCGACGCACACGTGATATCTATGGTTGGCCTGCGAATTTTGGGCTACCGATATCCACGCTGAAAATTCCATACTTGTACCAAAAATACGGTGGGGAATCAAGCTGCAATCAAAAAAAAATAAACAAATAAAAAAACATACTCTACAAATACAACATCTACTTACAGTGAATGAAAATGGAATCCATATGTACAAGCAAAATCTGCGTATTCAAAAGAAATTTGCGGCTCCTCGCTCATGGCTATGGCCAACTTCATAATACATAATAAGTCTTACCAACGATTTTACACTCCCCGTGTTATTTTATTCCAGCTACAACCGCAGGTTATTCAATCAACGTGCTTTTGTCGTAGCATTATTGCGTAGTTCTATTTGGTCATTCTGTTCTTCCTAGTCACCATTATTCTAGAAATTTCACTACTACAAAAAAGTCTCGTCGTGAACACCTTACGAGTATGCTTATCTTGTATAACCGTATTACGAACATCCTTCCATCAAAATTTCGACATCGTTTTACTAACATCAACTGGTTAATTATTGTAGTGTTTCTGAAAACATCCCTTTGTTCACTTAAAACCGTTAATTCTTATTCACTAAAATAAATACATGCTTGGTATAAATTTGACGAACAACTACATACAACAGTTTAGAGACAATGACAAGGAACTATTTGAAAAACAAGAATATATCATTGCTCAGTTTCTGCTCTTCAAAATAAAATATGTTTCAGATTTAGTAAGAATGCTACCAGTCTGTCATTCCTCCAAGCAATTCCGAGAAAGAGATAAGTTTGAACTTACCAAACACATGGAAGTATTGAGAAAGCCGCCAGCCATCATTTTGCACAGGTCCTACAAAATAAACATTGAATCCCGTGAACACTCGATGCAACCAAGCAGAATAATTCTAGGAGTTCTCCTGTACATTTCTACTCGGTGTTACTGAGTGGTAAAATTCAGAGCAACACAGATAATATGAATTAGAATAACTGTGTATTCAGGAGATAAGTTAAACTTCTGCTATTCAAATGAAGACATTTTCAGCATTATTTCCAGGAATAACAGTGACTAATAGTGAGTAAGGAGACGAAGTGTCGCTATAAATCTACAATTCTGCATTTTTCTTGGTTTAATTTGATGCACAAATGTTTGATTCCTACGTTATATTAGCCATAATGAGTAAACGACTTAAAATGAAGTCTTTGCATACCATATAACCTGCATGCTGTGCAGATTTGACAAAATTGATCCAAGTCACTAAACTACCACCGAACAAACTATTGTGTGGTCTATTCACTTCCCACCAAATAAGACTGACTGGCTGTGAACTTCAGATTTTTTTCCTTCCATCACTTTCCCCAATGGAACATAGGGTTTCAAGCTAGTGTCTTGAAGTTTCTGTAGCAGCGTTTATTTTTACAGAATTGGGTTGCTAGCCTCATGCCCAACCTTTCCTCTTTACCAGCCTTATTTATGGCTTAGCGATGTGAAGGAGTGCGTCGGCTAGGGATCAAACCCCGGACCATGTGCATGTTGGGCGAGCGTCCTAACCACTATGCCACCGACGCTAATTGCACTCTAAACTGTAAACGAATCGTAATACTACTGGTTGCTCTCTCAGCCGCGTCATATAAAGTTCATATATGTTCCCCTAAAATAGTACCGTTTTTTAATCTTGTAATGGCTGTCCGTCTCTTGATACGCCATGTGGGTAGAAGGATTTTCTATTGTTGTGGACATTCCATTTTATGGATATTCTCATATGCCACCACAAAGAAAGCATCAGTTATCCATCTTTGTCTTCCCCATGTTATAAATCTTTGCTTTCACCATGTTGCACACAACTACACGTCGATTTTGCAATGAATTTTGGATAAGGAGGTCTGGCAGAATACTCAAAAACGACATTGAATAGATCATTTTGCACCCATGATGATTTCAACGATTCACACATTTTCCTTCAGTGAAAAAAACGTCGTTCATTTAAACGGTCTTCTAACTAGCTGATCGTAGATGAAATTAATTCGTCTTTCTAAGACTGGACACTTCCAATACCATTAACTTCCATATCACGTTTAATTATGAATACATCGCACAGTGATTAAGAATAGTTTACCGTATGACAATGTTTTGTTTCCCTCATCCATTGTAATGTGAAAGTTTTGAGTAAAAGGAATGTGGGAAATCGTGGATATTTGATATTCCATGCAAATTGTGAAATGACTACAGCCGTTCAACAATAAACGTCGATGTGTAACAAATCATTTGAAAATTCACCTAACTCACCTCATACCAAGGTATGAACGTCAAAACCACCGCAAAAACCGCACAAATTATCGATAAAACCGCCAGTACGATAGCCACAATTATTTTCAATCTTCTTCTCATGAAGAATGTAATAATCATCAGTAAATCTTCCAGAATAGTGAACATGAATAAATATGAACATTTTAAACAAATGACTTTGCAGTCTACCAAGCAGACTTCTGACGACCATAGTAAAAGCTGTTGACAAAATTAATTTAAAAAAGTACAAATTAATGGAACAAATTAATTGGTCTTCATAAATATTATGTTCAATCTAATTTCAACCTCATTCAGCATGAAAAAATATGCTATATCGGACTTCAAAGAATCACTTCTTCTTAGTCACGTTTGCACAAGACTCGATTCGTCGGTGGAGTCTCGTGACTACGGGTAAAATATACACCTGCTGATAATATGCCGATTTGGTACATTTTATCAGTGGACTACCGAAACTGGTGGCTATAGTTGAGTTGCTTTACTGACTCAGAAATCTATCATGTTTTTCGATTGCAAATTTAATGATGCTCAGACTTGTATTCTATTATTACAAGACACGCACACACTATGGATGATTTTGGACAAAAGTTGTCCACTGCTACATGCTTCCTTCTCAGAATAAATAATATATTTCAATTTTATAGTGAGATGGTCGCTATAAGCGAAACAATCATTAATAAAGAAACTGGCCTTATTAAGTTGACATTCAGGAGAACTTACCAATATTGCAAGGAATATTCGTTCAATTCTCCAGTTTATGCAGTATTTGAGGGACAGTATTAAAACGATGACGAAAAGAATTGCTCTGAAATAAAATTTGAAACTGAGGAGTGAATTTCAGTGGTGTAATTTATCAGCATGTATATCTTTCCGTAGTTTTATGACTGCACATCAGTTATTTCTATGGTCTATCACACAGTGTAGAAGGATTATTCCTGGCACTAATTATGTAACAGAATACATTTCTGGCCATCACATTATCTCACGCTTCAGGCTAACTGATTGTTTTTTACCTAGTTGAACAATGTGCACGTAATCACTGGTTAACATAAACGCATAGAAAAGTAAATTGCATAAATGGCTTTTATCACTCGAATATAGTAGAATGTGGAATTCACATCCAAGTGACTGCTTCAACTTACCACAATTTCATCGCAAAATATTTTTCTGATCTAAAAAACAAGAAATTCATTATAAGTTTCATGAGAAACGATATTTCTGAGGCTTTGTTTTGAAATGGCTGATCATTCGCACTCATACAATGTCGAATTCGGACAGTTCACTCAGTTGTCAATGTGGTTGTCACTATTTATACTATTTCAAGCATGAAATCACAGCATTTTATTTTTTATTTTATTATTGGTTCGGTGATGCTTTCATGTGTACATCTTCTATTAAACTAAGTCTCTATAAACTTTAAAACTAGCTGTTATACAAACACACACCCCTTAAGAGAAAGAAGGCTACTAATATATTCGGAATTTCCTTAAACGACAACAAAATTATATCACTGAAAACCCAAAGAAGGTGGATAACTTACTAGTGAATAAAGTATGATTCACCTCTAAACGTCAGACTATTGATATGTAAATAATTCGCTCATGTACAAATATATTCATCTCATTCTTCGAAACTTTGATCCAAATATCCACACAAAAACGTGTAGATATAATATTAACTCAAAAAATAAAACTTCATACAATGTACTTTAAAATTATGAAATGTAAAAAATACATACAAACATAATAAATAATGACTTCAAGTACATTCGTAATTGTTCTGAATTTTCTGTTATTTTGATTGGTCGCTCATCGCATCACCGCATATCCACTGAACGAACATACATAAAAAGTTGCTATGCCTGTTGAAATATGCCAGGTTTTTCCCTAATAAAATCCATAACCAAGTCTCTTTACTTCTGACGTTAAATTAAAAATATGGAAGCGCTATTGACATTCCAGTTAAAGATTTCACTCAGCCTCGAATATCCCTATGAGTGAATCTCAAAATGAGCAGTTCTATTTTAGGTTTTTTGAAAATCCATGGACAGTATAATGAATAAGATAAAAATATCTACAGCTGATTTACCACATCGAATGAAGTTACTCCTTGTTTGTTAAGGGAAAGATTTACCCCATTTACGAATAATTATTGAATAGTGAGAACTGAGTGGCTCGAATTATATTGCCTCCAACTGGTTTCATTCTCAACATTTATGCAGTTGTATTTATTTAAAGTAGTTGCAATTGCTACTTAATCCAATATAGTAACGGAGGTTATTAAAGTTGATTATAATTTTCAACTTGATATGAATGTTTGAATCTGTGAATTTAGACTACAGAAGGCATGGAAACAAAATAATTTACGATTCGAAAATGACTGGGAAAATGCAAAACGAGTACCGCTGTAGACATTATGAGCATAGAAGATAATTGATGACAGGAGACTTAATGTCACAATAAAATTTTTCGGAGCTGTAAACGGCACAGACTACACCAACTGATGTGATAAACACTGTAAGGAGGAATGGGAAAAAACTTAAAACTTTTCCAAATTCTTCTAAACCACATAATGTAAATCCCTTCTAAAGCTACTCAAAGTAAAGACGACAATGAATACAACCTAAGAGATATTGAAGGTACATTGACTATCGATCAATGTGAAAAAGCGAATAGGCAAAAGTTTTACCTGATTCGATATACTCACACATGGAACAAACTACCAATGGGAATGAGGCTAGCATGCACATAACCCGCTTTCAAAAGATACCAAGTGAACAACTAAAAGAATTTACAAGTAATATTAATACCGATTCCCGTGTAAGTGCTTCAGAAGTCATAGGTATATTCAATGTGTTTGTTTTGCCTCTATTTATGATTTCAGACAAAAAAGCAGCAATCGAGACATAATCTCTCAATTAAATAAGGTACCCTTTGTTAACGTCTACCTGATACAAAATTGAAACAAAGCAGACATGCTAGTGAAGTATAAGAAAAGGAAGGATATGAGATTCATGGACATTATTTTATCAACAATTATGAATAATTATATAAATTCTTGATTCACGCTGATACAACTCAAGGCCTGAAACCTTCTCAATATCGAGTAAATGTTGGATGGTTGTAGACGTTCATGAAATAATACATTTAAAGAATACATATAATGGCCCTGAACACATCGATACTTTGCTGAATATGTTAAAATTTCAGAGTAACCAAACCCCACAAGAAAGGGATTTAACCAAATCCGCACTGTGGACATGATGTAATACTCATCTATATGTTGATAAAGCTGACGCATCTAAACCATAAGATATACAGGGCCAATAAACCTGGACATCCAAGCAAAAGTGAAAGTATACTGGGTGTAGCATTAGAATTTTCACGAAATAATTCGATAGCAATATTTAGTTCCAGAATTCTCCACTCGTCAATTTTCAATAGTTCGCAAATATTTGGTTGCTCGCCAAGTCTAAACTAAACAAAACTCACCTGTCGCCTGATAATTTCAAATTATTATTTCTTCACATATTTAAGTGGGCACTAACT